TAGCCGGTGTCGTTAAGTTGATTGATTTGAATCAAATACTGTTTGATCCAGTCGAGAGAACAAGTGCATTCAAATGGGTTTCCTGGAGTAGAGAAATAGATATTTACGACACTAAAGATAAATAGTTATAAAACATTTCACACTGACTCAGCTTTGACTTGTATTAACTTGTACATTCTGTTCCTAATTCAACCAGTAATTAACAATGTTATCATAGTTTAGTTCTGTAGATTTATCAGCTCGAACGGCTGTACATTTAGCTTATTGTTTCAACTATATTGTATAAAGGTTTGAGTGGCCATGAAACAATCATATGATTATTAACTAATATTTTAAAAAATAAAAGTAATAATAATAATAATGATAAGTCTCTGAAAAAAAAAATTCTTGTTTAGCACACAGCAAGGCAGTGCACTATCTGTGCTCTACCAACCGCGCCTCTCGAAACCCGATTTATAATGTTAAAGCACACAAACTTTCATTGAACCACCTGGTGGTGCATGGACTGCACATTTAACACATATTACATGGCTTACCACGAAAACAAGCCTAGTATTGTTTTACCGATTTACCCTTGTCTAAGGTTAGTTATAAGGGTTAAAATTCACCATAGTCGGTAGAACTCGCTAACAAGCTTTTGGTGGAAATTTCTTTGGATAGTTCAGTGACCTACTTAAACCTGCAAATAAATTAGAGTTATCAAACAAATCATACCTAGCTTTTACAGAAACAACTGAATCATAGCTATTTCTACTTTCATTTTATATAATTAACGAAAAAGATTAAACTAATAGTTTTTCTCACTCACTGGCTAACTGAAGAACAACATACAACGTAGTTTAATGAGGAAGTATTGTGTAGTTTGAGAATGAGATAGTATAGTTTAGTGTAGAAGTATTGTTTAGTTTGAGAATGAGATAGTATAGTTTAGTGTAGAAGTATTGTTTAGATTGAGAATGAGATAGTATAGTTGAGTGTAGAAGTATTGTTTAGATTGAGAATGAGATAGTATAGTTTAGTGTAGAAGTATTGTTTAGATTGAGAATGAGATATAGTTTAATGTAGAAGTATTGTTTAGATTGAGAATGAGATAGTATAGTTGAGTGTAGAAGTATTGTTTAGATTGAGAATGAGATAGTATAGTTTAGTGTAGAAGTATTGTTTAGATTGAGAATGACATAATATAGTTTAGTGTGGAAGTATTGTTTAGATTGAGAATGTCATAATATAGTTTAGTGTAGAAGTATTGTTTAGATTGAGAATGACGTAATATAGTTTAGTGTGGAAGTATTGTTTAGATTGAGAATGAGATAGTATAGTTTAGTGTAGAAGTATTGTTTAGATTGAGAATGACATAATATAGTTTAGTGTAGAAGTATTGTTTAGATTGAGAATGACATAGTATAGTTTAGTGTAGAAGTATTGTTTAGATTGAGAATGAGATAGTATAGTTTAGTGTAGAAGTATTGTTTAGTTTGAGAATGACACAACATTAACAATGGATAACTATATAAAAGTTTCAGTTGTCACAATAGTTTAGTGTAGAAGTATTGTTTAGATTGAGAATGACACAACATTAACAATGGATAACTATATAAAAGTTTCAGTTGTCACAATAGTTTATTGTAGAAGTATTGTTTAGATTGAGAATGACACAACATTGACAATGGATAACTATATAAAAGTTTCAGTTGTCACAATAGTTTAGTTGATATTCCTACAACATGATATCTAATTGTTTAAAGTAACGGAAAAGATAAAAATCACTAGATATTTTAAATCTGTTTACATTATCCGATATCAAAAATTTTCATATAATGTCATGAAAATAAGAACGTAACTTTGTTCTTCTCGTAACTGTTGAAATTATTTTTTGATTTTTTGTTAAGTGCATGACTTTAAAGTGGTCTATATCTGCTCTTCCTGGAGCTGGTATCAAAACCTGCCTTTTACCCTTACAAGCCTTCAGACTTATGCTGAACCACTGGGAATGTGGGAGTGGTTATTAATAATGGTTTAAGTGTGAGAATTATCACGAAGTTCACGATACTGTTATATTTGTTTGTGTAAAATTACTTAAGCCACTTCCCATTAAACCCACTCTACACTTATAAATTTGACCTAAAAACGACGAGGCTTTATTTTGCATGAAGGTTGAAAAGATATTTCTATTTTATTAGTATTGTAAGTGTTCGATGAAAAAAGCCAGTAACGACACACGAGTGAAAAACAAAGTTATTTTATTAGAATAACTAGCCAGGTATACGTTTAAACAGAGAAAGAGGCGTCATTAGGGTTATGAAGTGTAAACTTTCCATTTGATCTACTATGTTTTAGTCATCGTACTGATTTAAAGTTTTGAATCCTTATAAACAGTCTACAACAAATTAAAACTCTACTCAGAAAGATTAAAAACAGTTTATACTTAGAGCAGGTTTATCAGCTCTCCTCAGAACCAAGTTTGTCCGTTTCTTTCAAGGACACTGTTTGCCACTTTTCGCCAGGATTAAATTTGTCAACTCTATGTTAATATTATTATTTTTTTTTCATTTCCATGGTTGGAGACATATACAGTAATTTTTACAACTTAAGAACAATCTCAGCTACAAGGAAACTAATTACGTATATAGGTATTTACAGAGGTGAAGTACCTTATATAAAAACGATTTTGGAGTCTTGCCAAGTCGTTACAGTCCACGTCGCCACGTCTGGTCATGCCAGATATGACGATTTACTGGTATACGTTTCCAAAGTCCGACAGCACAGAAACTCCCAGCCAACTTTGTTTCGTTCTCCAACTGCTCGAGATATGCTATGAGACTAGAAGTCTTATCTTGCCCTCACTTCCGAACGGATATCCTTCTTGATGGGTTTTGGTAGCGACGTTAGTGTTCGTGAATTATCACCTGTTACAAGACGCCATATTGGTAAACCACGATTTGTAGCAGTTCTTATACATTCCGTTCCACCACAACTTTATCCTAGCTACGCTTTTCACGTGACTTTTTGATTTGCATATTCAAAATCTTATCAACCCATTGACTGCTGATTCGCCGTATAGAGTACTGTCGGCAGTTGAATCCGAGTGTGCTGTATACGGTGTACGGCTCGCAAAAATTCCACACGCGTTTAAAACAGCCGCAATCAAAGGATTTAATATAACGTAGTGAACTTCTTGTATTACATTATGTATAAAAGTATAATCTATATTATTTGATATGTTGGACATAACTTATGTAAATCAAAGTATTATTTTATTTAAGTACGGCCTGTTTGACACACGTATTTCAAATGATCATACGGATGGTTAATAAAGATTCGTATTTAACACGTTAACTTGTTGATGTTTCTGACTAGCTACAAACTATCTGGTCTCTGATTCGGCAATTTAATCAACTTCAGATTGAAAGTTCTAATACGTTTCTCGTACTTTCCTGGTATGAGAATCGAAAAGAAACGACTTTGAACATTATATATATACACACTAGAACATTTATACAGACTTTGAGAAAAAAAAATCAATCTCATTGTGAGTCTAGGAACATTTGGCTTATTGTTAAATACGACCTTTTATTCTGTGACGGCTTGAGAGGTAAAAAAACAACAACAATGAAACTAGTGAATTGTTTCATGATTTTTTTGATGCATTTTTAGACCATTTTGAAGTGTATTCCATTATGTAGCTAACAATCTTGAAATGGTCTCGGACTTTTCGCGAAGAGTATCTTAATCCAACAGCCCCAAGAAAACCCATCGCGGCGATAGCTACACAGTAAGAAATGTGTTTCATTGCCAGGAGAGCTGTATTTTCCGGTTTGTGTTTCGTATCTTTGACCACACAGTTTCTTTCGGCAGAAAAACTAGGCACACAAATACAATCTTTGTCCCAGTGTCCATCTGTTAAAATACAGACGTAATAATCTGTGTTTTCCTGAAGATTACGAATCGTCGAATTCCCAGTTTGCTCCTCCTCGGTTTGGAAATACACATCGTCTGTTAAAGTGTTTCCGTAGTAGATTTTAACCTTTTTCTCAACTCGATGACTACTTACGCTAAAGTATTTTGGGTTCCATTTAACGAATAACTCTCGATCTGAAATACTTTCTACCGACAAGTTAAGGCTCACGGGTTTCTGGGTGCTACTTGAAGGATCCGACTTTGTTGTTACATGGGTGCTACTTGAAGGATCCGACTTTGTTGTTACATGAGTACTACTTGAAGGACCCGACTTTGTTGTTACATGGGTGCTACTTGAAGGATCCGACTCTGTTGTTACATGGGTGCTACTTGAAGGATCCCACTGGGTAGTTCCTCCAGAAGTAACCACCAGGGTGTCCGTGGTTACCAGGTTACCTATCGTGGTGGATAACTGCATCTCTTCAGTACTAATATCGTTTAGAGTTGTGTTTCTTTGACAGAATTCAACTTGAGAAAACTGCATGTTGTTGTAGTTGGTGCAATTGCCGGTGTCGTTAAGTTGATTGATTTGAATCAAATACTGTTTGATCCAGTCGAGAGAACAAGTGCATTCAAATGGGTTTCCTGGAGTAGAGAAATAGATATTTACGCCAGTAAAGATAAATAGTTATAAAATATTTCACACTGACTCAGCTTTGACTTGTATTAACTTGTACATTCTGTTCCTGATTCAACCAGTAATTAATAATGCTATCAGAGTTCATTAACATTCCTTTCAAAAAGTTGATAAATCTTACAGAAAACAAAACTAAGAGAAGTAGCTTGTATTAGATATTCCCAAATTATCAGATTTAATATACTATTTCTGTGTTAAATAATGTGTTAGATATGAACACAAAAGTAAATCAGCTAATATTGTTTTAAAATACCTTCGCCCTCCCAGTGACACATGTCTGCCTATTTACAACGCTAGAAACCGGGTTTCGATACTCGTGGTGGGCAGAGCACAGATAGCCCTTTGTGTGGCTTTGTGTTTAAGTACAAACAAACAAACAAATCGTTCTCCCGGAGATTTATCTGTTCATGTTGAGATACCTGATATTTTCACACGATGGTCACTTAACACGAAAATAATTAACAGGTTAAAATAATTGTGTTAATACGTTAAATATTGCACAACGTTCTCACGTTAACATTGATCATTCATCAGAATGTTCAGAAGTAGTTAAATAATTGTGTTAATACGTTAAATATTGCACAACGTTCTCATGTTAACATTGATAATCCACCAGAATGTTCAGAAGTAGTTAAATAATTGTGTTAATACGTTAAATATTGCACAACGTTCTCATGTTAACATTGATCATTCATCAGAATGTTCAGAAGTAGTTAAATAATTGTGTTAATACGTTAAATATTGCACAACGTTTTCATGTTAACATTGATCATT